TCAGTATAATCAAACACAGCTGGACTCAAATGAAGGTGTAGAACCATCTCAGGGATGATCAGAAGAAATGGACAGCACCTAAGTTAAATATACAGCAAAGGGTCTGAATACTTTCTGTACCCACTGTATACCTAGGTGGATGAAGCAAGTGCAGCATTAGAATTGGGCAACCTTTCATGCTATGCCTGCAACTTACATTTACACTGATTTGTTCAGCTGACCTACTTGCAATGCCGACAGTCTTTGATTTTTCAATCATAGTGGTCACTGCTGAGAACCTGACACGCTGCTTTCAGCACAGACTTGGTGGCTTGAGGCCATTTGACATGAAATTAAATCAAACCCAGCTCAGTCTTGTCAAAGCAGAGGTCAGAAACAACCTTAGCCAGGTGTCTGCACTCCTACTCAGAGCTGAATTTTCTAGGCCAGACACCACACGCACACTCAAACGAGTAGCCCTGTTTTCATTTAAATTCACATGCTGCTTCCTTACCCACAGAGATGCGCACACTGACAGCTCTCAACTCTCCTGCTCAACAAGCAGTCTGACAGCGTGCTCATTGTGCAGCTCAAACAGCTCAATGCCTCCTTATCTACATACATGGAGCTGTCAGTCAGCAATACTAGTGGTCAGCTTCAGTCCAACTGAGGCTTTCCTGATGTGTCGGGATTTGGCTCTGTATGTTTCCAGCAGCTGTGGAACAGTAGTATGAAGTGGGTCTGCAAGGATTCCTCCCTCCTGATTTTTGAATATTAGATGGGCTATATCATAGGAATGGGAGCGAGTTAGGGGGAAGCAGAGGATAGATACAACTGGTTTGAAAGAAAGTTGATGGTAATGGAACCAGAGGTTGTCATGATCACTTTGGCTGGATTTAATGAGAACGCTCTGTGAAGCTTTGAGCACACTGAATTAGTTGTGTCTTTTAGTGCTTTAGCCAGGCAGATCTTGCCCTTTTAAAAGGATTTGTTCTTCCCATTAACCACAATTTATCAAACTGAAACGGAGGCATGCTTGTGCTTCAGCAAGCGAAGGTGCATATCTTGTCGTCCTGGCTTTGTGAAAGCGATGTCACTCTCTCCAGCTTTTATCAGCAAATCTTCACTGCACAAAAAGCCAGAATCATATATGTATATATAAAATATATATTTTTTGAGTGTTTTTATGACGGTCGTAACATGTAAATCTCCTGCTGTCTGCTGCAGTTATGGAGTATCAGGTGCAGATCAACAACGTCAAGGCCAAGCTTCAGGATACCCGCGCCCGAAAGAAACAACAGGAGGAGCTTATCATGAAAGTGGAGAACCAGGCCCTCAAAGTAAGCAGTGAACCCACACTTTTTTTTCTTTTTTGCAAATATTCAAAGACTAGAAACATAAACAAGAACATGCAGATGAGTTTGGAGGCACAAGCCTACATGTAGCGAGTCCAATGATGTGAAAAAACACCTCATTACACACAGTGTTGGAGACCATATTTTGTCTTGTTTGTATTTTCAGAGCTTTAAATATTACATTTCTCCTCTCAGCCCTTTGCTGTATAAGCATGCCCGTGCACCAAAAATAGCATGGAAATGAGTTGTTCTGTCAAGCTCTCTTTAAGGCAGCAGAGCACGAGCAGACATGGCCCTTTTTACATTGCCATTTGGGGCTCTCATTGCCCAGTGTTTTGGGGCCGTCAAAGCCCCATCCCTAGTCGTTATTATCACAGCCGCGGAGAAAAGGTCAGCTGTCTCTGACTGGCATTCCAAGTGGCCTTTCTGTCAGAGAGGAGATAGGACATGAGCAGCCCAGTCACACACATTTAAAGCTATCACAATTTAATGAGGCTCAGCATGTCGACTCAGACAAATCTTGTTGGTCTCTCTCCTGTCTCAGAACCGCTTCCAAGCCTTGTTGGATGAGATTATTCTGCAGGAGGAGCGGGAGATGGAGCAGGTAAGAACCTTTCTGTAAAATCTGAGGATCAGTTCTTGGTGTGAGCTTTCAGCACTTTGCATGAATTTATCTTGTAAGGATGTCAGATGCTGTTAGCAGCTGGCATTGTGCATCCTTATTAAACTAAACGGCTTTCATAACTAATAGCAAAGTTCAGATTCAATTATGTGAAATCTAAATTGTAAGCGGCTACCAGTGGAGTCCTATGGCACAGTGGCCACCCATTGTCCTGGGTCGTTGTTTGTATTGACAAATGAAGGCAGCAGATTAATGTGAAAAGACATGTTAATCATCATCCACTTACCCTCCAATTATACCCGGGGGCTGTCGGGCATCAATCACGCCTTCTGTTTTCTGCTCCTACAGCTGGCCTCCCTGCAGGAGCAGCTGGACTCGCTGATAGAGAAATGACCACCAGGGGGCAGCCTGCATCTTCAGCCCCACACGCACGCACACACACACACACACACACACAGATCGTGAAGAGGAAGAGGAGAGCCTTCATACAGGGAAGGAGGGAGTCTTTTTTAGCTGACTTGCTGTCATTTTTTTTTTTCCCAGCATGTCATTTTCATACATTACATGGTGCACAGCATACATACTGGTTTCTGTACCAGGACTTTATAGTTTTACAGAATTTGTTGCAACTTACTGTATGATAATGTATTTGATTAGCTTCAAGGCTGTGATCTTTGTCTGTTTTGCTTGTCATTCTGAAGACAATTGGCTTTTACTTCATCTTAACATATTTGTATTTCATTACCCGGTTGAAGAATAAATGACATGTCAAAGAAACCGTCACTTTCATTGACTGTTTCCGTCCAGTCCAGTGCTTTGGGAAGCTTTATTCATCTAAATCATGCTTTTAATACTGTTTGAGTTCTTCTTGTATTCAGGTCCTTCCTCTTCAAATTAGAGCTCAATAAATTATCTGATTAACCAATTGATCAGTAGATTAATTGGAAACTATTTTGATAATCTAACTGTCTGTTGTTTTTCAAGCTACAAATGACTTGAAATGTTCTGGCAAAACAACTGTTTTAATCACTTAAGGAGGCTTCACTTAGGCTTCAGGAGGATGCAACAGCCGTTTTTCACTATTTTCTGATATTTTATTGATCAGATATTGACAAAACAATTGGCAGATTAAATGATAATTGTAATATTTGTTAGTTGAAGCCCTGGTTCAAATTTAAAGAGCAAATTAACATCCCCTGGGAAAAAAAAATCATCTTTGTTGATCAGGGGTGGTTTAACTTCTCACCTTACTGCAGTGGTGTACAGGTGTACTCCAGCACCACATGACTTCACTGCTGGGTGTTACAGATGAAACAAACATTTCTGATGTTACCCCATCACGGCCAGCAGAGATGAGGTCAGAGTTGAAACAGGCTTTCATCCAGAGAGAGCAGCAAAACAGTCTGTTAAGTTACTGTGTTTGGTGTTTGTGACTCTTAGGTTAAAGGTCTACGGGCTAGAGGCCTCTCGCCATGACCAGGACCATCTTAATGTCATCGCATTACTCTCTTTCCAGAGTAATGTTTAGTTGTTCAAGAGGGATTTTAGCCTTTCTTGTACATATAATTCTGGGTCTGGCGGTCATCCAGTGCCTTTCCAGCTCCTTCCAGCAGGGATTGCCCCACCAATCACAGGGGGAGGCAAGGGATTAGCTCCTCAGATTAAACTGGCCATCTCAAAACCCAGCCTAATCCTGCCATCTGTCAGAGAGCAGCTAACCAGCCAAGGTTTTCTCTATAGGCTAATTAGAGAGCTAGAAGAACACAGACCTAGAGAGGAGAAAGAAATCTCCAAAACACACACTCTTCTGTCAGGTACTGCTGAAGGTAGAGTGACAATGGAGGAGACGTACCTTCTCAACTACCCAGGAGTCAGGAAGAAGATTCTGGCTGGAGGCAGGGGACCGCTGCCACACTTTCCACCTGGGACAAAGGTAGGCTAAATCACATTTAACCTGAAAACTTAAACAGCACTAGATTAAAACCCAGTATGCTGAAGAAAGTGATTCCTTGCGTAATTGCTTTTACGATATAATTAGTGTTCTCTTTTAGCTGTGTGATGCATTGCCCCGCTTTAATTAACTTCTGTTGAATTATTCATGCAGGGAAAAAAATATTCTCTATCTGGCTCTTACACACAGAGTAAACATTTGGTTGACCAAATTGCAACATGTTTTTTTGGCAGTGTCCATGTCTCTGTTCATCCAGTGATCTGCTGGTCACTGAGTTTTGTTTTGTTTTGTTTTTTACCTTGTGGTCACATCCAGCCATATGGCCCAGAGCCTAGACACAGTGGCAAACATTTTCCATGACAGTGCCAGCACAAATTTTCATTTACCTGTCTGTTTGCTCTCCCGTCAGGTGGCTCCCAGTTGCTCCCAGTTATAAGACCATTATAGACAGTCTCTCAAGCTATAAATTGGAAGTTACATTCAACCAACATAATTTTACAGTCAGTGATGAAATGTCTGAAATATGACAGTAATTAGATCAGAAGTCCATAGTTTATATAGAAAATACAGATTAGAATAATAAGAGGAAGATGTTTGATTTATTGAAGCATGCATTCATTTATATATAACACAGACATAAATAAAATTACAACAATTTAATTAAGAAGTGAGGTAAATATTGTTTATTTTTGTTACCTGCATGCCAAACCAACAATCCCATTAAAATCTCCTGCTAGTGTGAGTTTTCATTCAAAAACTTTAAAAAGATGTGGGGATCATTCATAAACTTCCCAGAGGATTTTTGGACTTTTAGATGTTTTATGTATTTTTTTTGTCATGAAATATTAATTCCTCTTCTCTAAATCTTCCCGTTCCTCTGCTGCCTCTTTCCATCAGCTGGTGTTCCACTTCCAGACGCTTTTAGACAATTTTGAGCGGACGGTCATCGATGACAGTCGACTGGCTGGAAGGCCAGCTGAGATATTTGTTGGAAAAATGTTCAAGATGGAGGTCTGGGAGACCCTGCTGACGTCCATGAGGACTGGGGAGGTGGCTGAGTTCTGGTGTGATGCCATTGTGAGTTCAACTACAGACTTTACATGCACGTACAGTACACACTTAGATATTTTGACCCAAAACCCCTGAAAGGGGTCCAAGTGAATGCTTATGAGTAAGAAAGGGCAGCTTTTGCTCCTCATTATGATGTACAGTGCTCAGTATAAATGAGTACACCCCAACAGATTCATCAGAAAACCTTAACTTTCCTTTCAAAATCAACATTTTCTATGGGACACTACGCTACAAAGTACTCCCACAAATGCAGGCCAGTGAGTGCAACCAAGATTTGTTATTGTGCACACACAAAATCTATTTTCCCTAACAAATCCATTCAAGACCATGTTGCAAAAATGAGTACACCCCAATGAAAGTCTTAGGAGAGAAGCTAAATTTTAGACAACAAAATCATTATGAACAACAACAATTCAACTACAGGTGAGTCTAATTATTCATTAAGCAGGTGTCCAGCAGACAACTGATTATAGAAGGGCGTTACTTAAAGAAAACCCCTTCCCATTTCATGCTCTCAGCAATGGCACCACGTGGAAGAGAAATGTCACAAGGCCCGAGAAGGAAAATAATTTCTTTACACAAGAAAGGTGAAGGCTACAAGAAGATCAGCAAAGCTTTACTTATCGGTCAGAATACTGTAGCAAAAGTGGCACAAAAATTTAACAAAGATGGAACTGCAACCATCACACAGAGACGTCCATGGGCATTAACACCTCAACAGGAGCATCTTCTGATGAGAAGGGTTGAAGAAAATCACCATGCAAGTTCACTGCAGTTAGCTAAAGAAGTAGAAAGCCAAACAGGGGTGATTGTTTCCCGTGACACAATACAACGTACACTGCAGATGAATGGCATGCATGGGTGCTGTCCATGAAGGAAGCCTCTCCTAAAGCCCATGCACAAAAAAGTTTGCCTAGAATTTGCCAAGGCCCATGCTAAAAAAGAGGAAGACTACTGGGGCTCTGTACTCTGGAGTGATGAGACCAAGATAAATGATTTTGGAACTGATGGCTTCAAAACTGTATGGTGTCGGAAAGGTGAGGAGTCCAAAGAAAAATGCATGGTGCCTACAGTGAAACATGGCGTTGGCAGTGTCTTTCTGTGGGGCTGCATGAGTGCCGCTGGTGTCAGGGATCTGCATTTCATTGATGGTATAGTGAATTCTCAGATGTACTGCTCTAAATTGAAAGAGAAGACGCTACCATCACTCCATGCCCTTGGGCGTCATGCACTTTTCCAACATGACAATGATCCAAAACACTGTTGCATTTCTGAAGAACAGGGTCAAAATGATTCAGTGGCCAAGTATGTCTCCTGATCTGAACCCAATCGAACACCTATGGGGAATTCTGAAGAGACAAGTTGAGCATCACCCTCCATCCAGCATCCAGGCTCTAAAAGAGGTCGTTCTTGAAGAATGGAAAAAGATAGATGTTGCAATATGTCACCAACTTGTTCAATCCATGCCTAAAAGACTTGATGCTGTCCTTACAACTCATGGAGGTCATACAAAATACTAGATGTAGTAGTGTTTGTTGTGGGGTGTATTCATTTTTGCAGCAACTACTTTGAGTAAAACAATGGATTTTGTAATCTAAGTTATATTATTAACCTTACTTTCATGTAATGAGTTAAACAAATGTTCTATACAGCTCAGTTTTGTCCAAATTTTAGAAACTGTTCTTGTGTTCGTTGAGATACTGATTAAAATCTTACTTTTCAAAAGGGGAGTACTCATTTATGCTGAGCACTGTACATGAATCAAACTTCTGAATCCACCTGTCATCCAGAGAATCCACCAGAGCAGTCTTTTGTGCAGATTTCACTACAAAAACGTGTATGTGTTTTTCTTGTAGAACTGATTGGCACAAACGTGTAGAACCAGAGGGTTAACATGATTAAGAGCTCCCGTGTCTTGTTGCAGACCCCATTTTGTGTTTCTGTTGATGTGTTCATTTTGCAGCACACAGGGTTGTATCCAATTGTGTCCAAGGGAATGAGGTTGATCGCTCAAGGGAAAGACCCCCTAGAAGGCCAAAGACATATGTGTGGCATGGGAAACGTGTTCCACTTTCACTCCACTGGCTTCCCAGAGTTGGATGACCTAATGAGAACTCCTCAACCACTTATATTTATCATGGAACTGTTGCAGGTAAGCACCAAAGGCAAAACACTATATGTCAATTTAATGAGTGAAAGAAGAAAACAGTGTAGAACAATCACTTTTTAAAAGATTTCTTTTTCTCAGATTTTGCCATCTGTAAACATAGGCTGTCAGTAACAACAATGACACATTTACGGTACCTGTTCTTCCAGCCCTCTTCAGGACTTGAGATACCTCCTACACATTATTTTTTGTCTACTGACAGAAATGACAAAACCAAGTCCTCTTCTGCCTAAAACATTCAGCTTTGACATAGTATATTATCCAGATCAAGCCTGAAACTCACCAGGGTTTCCGGCAGCAGCTAGTTTCACAGTGCTGGGCTGTGCACGAGTTGACAGCTTTTCAGTGATGGAAATACTCAGTTCCTTCACTTAAGGTAAACTAGCAATACTTCTATGAAAAAATACAGAAGTAAACATTGTGCATTCAAAACTCTACTTGTACAAAAATGTAGATGTATTACCAAGAATTAAATATCCAAAGTGAAAGTACTCATTATGCATCAAAGTCCCTTTCAGAGAGTTAAATAATTGATCCCTTAAGGTACTGTATGATTTTGTTTTTTATAAACCTTTTGTGCAAAAGATATTTTATGCAAACAAGTTATCTTGTGCAGTATGTTGAAAAATAACTTAAAAATGAGACTTCATGAGCTCTTCTGTTGGTTTCCTGCAGGAAATTTAAAAGATTATCATTGCTATTGGTAACCTCATGTGAATACCAGCACAACTCCAGAGTGAACAGGTCTAATCAGCCACATGACTACTGAAAACACCTGTGTTGGTTATAGAGGGATTTTAATATATATCGATGCATAATATTTTATAAGATGATCATATGTTTGTAAAGTGAAATGTGGAACAAAATTATAAAGTGAACTGGAAATAGCAAAGTACAAGTGCCTCTAAACCTTATTTAAGTACAGTACTTGAGTAAGTGTACTTGGTTTCATTCCACCACTGCAGTTCTTTGTACATGTTTAGCATTTGCTTCCATCAGTGGTTTTTCTCCTTGTGATGTTTTGTTCTCCACATGCCCCGTGCTGTTTCCAGGTTGGAGACCCTATGTCCTACCACAGGGAGTCATGGATGATGGACAAGGATGAGAAGCTGCAAACGGTGCCAATCCTTCACATGCAGGGCAATGCACTGGTCAAGCAGAGAGAATTCAGAGAGGCTTCCAGCAAGTACAAAGAGGCTGTGCTGCTGCTGAAAACAGTCCAGAGCAGAGTGAGTAAAGGGTTGGGGAAGAAAGGTAGGATGGAGGGAGGTGATGAGTGACATGCAAGCTTGTGAATTTTGAGGGTGTTCTCAGGATTTTAGGGTTTTGGGATGTGCCACTTCAGCTGTTTTCCAGTGAGAGATTCCTGTGTTTCTGTTTTGCTCTGCTTCACTCTGTCCCTGGTTACAGGCAGTAAAGTGGAAGGCTTGGCAAAGGGAATTGAAGGGAGGGCTGTGCAGGGTTGTCTAGCATGAGAGGGGGATGCAAGAATGGATGAACACTGGAGTGAGAACAACTTTTTAGATAAGACAGCATGCAGGATTCTTTTGTGTGAGAGAGTCATTTTTGGCAGCTTTAGACATAATCACAAGTTTGATGTTGGATACAGATAGTTGGCCTGTGTGCTAACAGCTTGTAAAGCTTTGCTCAGCAGCGATGATGCTTTCATATCCCAAAGACATGTCATTTTTGAATCTGTGTGAAAATATTTAAATCTACAGGATTCACATAAATTATTAAAACATGTGTAGGAGATGCAACACGGCAGCTCTTATCATATTCTTGTTCTTCCATCTGTGCATGTTTGTGTAGGAGATGCCGGGCAATATAGATTACATTCACTTGGGTCGAATGATCATTCCCCTGGAGTTGAACTACTGCCAGTGCATGTTGGAGCTGGAGGAGTATTATGAAGTGATAGAGCACACAACTGAACTGCTGGAGAAACACAAAGGTAAAAGGCATGCTGTACTTTTTCCTTGCTTCTCACTGACATATTTGCATCAAATCCCTGAGCTGAGCGACTTCATTGGAGCTGCTGTACTAGGGTTAATCCTGTGCACATTGTCAATTCAACAGTGGAAGGTGTTATTCACTCACTTTACCTCAGGGATTTGAACCAGCAAATGTACTATACCAAGCTAATGTAGTGCCCCCATTATGAGAGGATAAAATACTCTCCATATTTGTTAGCCACGCTAATGTAATTTAGTGTCATTACTATTTAAAATGTATGAAAACCATATTTTCCGAGCCACTAATCACTGGTCTCTGTGAGCACTGATAGCATGTTCCCAGTCCTTACAAACAGAAAACCAAAAGAACTCAGTTGCACCTCTGCACCCAAATGATTTTTCCCACTCACACACACTGATTTTCACTCAAATGTGAGTGAAATGATCACACTGACAATTCCTGTTAGCATAAAGACTGGAAGCTGAGAAACTGCTAGCTTGGCTCTGTCCACCTTCCATAAACGTGGTTTTTAAACATTTTATTGGGTATTATTCTATGCGCTAAACTATTGTTTGTAATTGTGAACAAATACACAAAAAGCTGCTGTGGGAGTAAAATTAAGGCCTGCAGAGAGTTACTTCCACCCCTGGCTATGAACACTAACAAACAGTAATTTCAAAATGTTGTAAAAAGTTGACAGGTCTGATGCCTGTGGTAGGTTTATTGCAGTGACTGTTGCATGTTTCAGTGAGAGTGTGTAGGAGGGCTGAGGACATTATTGGGGATTTTACAGTTGGAGCAGCACTGGGAATTGTACTGTCACACCCATGGCTACTCGTATAATCCTAGAGGAGCTCGCATGTTGGCACAGTCTCTACTTCAGAGCTTTGAATTGTGCCCCTCACCCCAAGACAGTGCTTATTTTAGTCTTCCCAGCTTTATATTTGTGTGTGTGTGTGGCAGGAGGAGGGAGTGTGTACAGCTGTGCATGTGTGGTAGGAGGAAAGGCATAAACATGTTTATGAGTGAGCATGAGAGTGACACAGTATTGTCAAACTTTTGGGTAAGAGTGAGCTCCACTGGCCCATTTCAAATTGTCATCACAAAGCTGCAGCCCTTCTCCAACCCTTTTCCAACTGTACCTTAAATTTAATTTACTCTTTTTGCACTTGTTTTATTGTGAGCCTGTGTGTTTGCAGGAGTTTTAAAAGTATAGTTTGACAGTTTGGGAAATATGGTCATTTATTTCCTGCCAGAGCGTTAGGTGAGAAGATAGCACTCTTATGATTGGCTGTTGCATCCAAGTGAGAAGATGGTTTGCTTACTTAGCACAAAGACTAGAAATGAGAGAAGCAGTTAGTCTGGCTCTGTCCAATGGTAACTAAATCTGTCTACCGGCACTTAACACACCATAGCTTGTTTTTCTAATCCATACCAAGCCAATGTGTAAAAACAACTATTCAGAAGGATAGTTACAACAGCGCATGGATAGAATTAGAGCAAAATTACTGTAAAAATAACTTAAATAACTCAGTTGCAGACCTCCCTTTTCTACCAAACTCTACTAAGCAATTAAATCACTAAGAACCAGTGACGTGCGGTCAGGGGAGGCAGGTGAGGCAGAGCCTCCCCCGTCAATCTTGAAAAGAAAAAAAAGTTAACCATAAAATATAATAAATGTTAATATTTGTCGGCTGGTGTGTGTTGTAGGCCCTTTTGCCGTTCGAATCCGATGTTGAAAGAATTTTTTTCAATAAAGAATAGCAGAATTTCCGCATGTCCCGTTCAAATACATGGAGGAGATGCGCGATGAGGCAGCACTTTGCTGTGCCTCTCGGTGGATCGTGTAATCCTCACAAACTGTATGCGATGCAAATAGTGTGTCGCTGTCCCTCTATATATCGCAAATAAAATGCTTTCAAACACTCTGATTATATGCTCTGCCTTGCCATAATCTGGATAATGTATAAAATGTAGTTCAGTAACGTGTTTAGGCTGCAGATTAACCATAAAACCCAGTAAAAAAGTTACTCGTTGAGGCAAACAGTACGCCTGCCTCACGGCAGAGGGCGCTAGTGAGCCCACAGATTCTTGCGCTACCTACAATCTTCTTCGTGCTTGTTTATATTTCCTTTACAATCTGCTTTATCAAAATGGAAGATTACATTTCCAAGCTGAGAAAATTCGCAAATCTGGACTTTCAATCAAAACATTTTTGATAGTCTGGACATTTTTGTCCAGAAGGATCTTCTTTATTGAAAACATTTGTTTTAATATTGGATTCGAACGGTAAAAGGGTTTGTAATACATACCAGCTGACAAAGGATTTTGTGTACAAGTAAAGGCAAGACCATAAACTTTTATTATTTCTAGTTCGAAATAAGCTCAACTGGAATAAATTTTAACCTCAAATTAAATATGGGTCACGTTTGTGTGAAGAATGCTGATATGAGATATAAAACATAACGCATTGTCTGTTAACAGACAATTTGTATTTGTAAATCTGACTGTAAAAGAGTTAGTGCCTCACCAGCTGTCAACCTCACGTCACAATCCTCTCAACTCTGACAGCCTGGTGGAAAGCAAACAAAATCACTAAATCATCACTTGCACCATGTAGATTTCAAACTGTATAATAACCCTATCTATTTCCCAACATGGCAACACAAAGGAATCACTCACTTACATCACCTATTTAAAAATAACCAGTTCATATCATTTAATACACTGATCCAGAAGTACGGAGTTCAGAGAGAACAGTTCCTCCAGTACAATCAGCTAAAATCCATAATTAAATCAAAGATTAGTGTAACCAATAACCCACTACAACCCTCCCAATTAATTGAAGAAATTAATATCCAAGCTATATAAACTCATATCAAATACAAACTCAACAATAACACTGCCAAAACCTAAATAGGAAAATGATTTAACTCTCCCCCTCAACTCCGACTTCTGGACAGAAATTTGCAATAACATCTTTTCTATGACCAGCAATGTAAACTTACAACTTACACAATACAAGACCATTTATAGGACCCATATTACAGAAAGTAAAATGTTCAAAATTGGTTTTACCGACACAGAAATCAGCTCACAATGCACTCTAGATTGCACCAACAGTTACTTTCATGCTACTTGGACCTGCTAACCAGTTCATTCCCTCTGGATAGCAGTGACAGAGAAACTCTCCACCATCTTGGGCTGTAGAATCCCTCCTTCTCCATCACTTTGCTTACTCTGTAATATCATAGAAATTGAATACCTACCAATTAAATATAAAAACCCACTCCTCATTTCTCTAGCTATTGCCAAGAAAACAATCTTTCAAAATTGGAAATCAAAAAAAATCACTACACATAAACCACTGGACCAACCTTCTGATAGAATACATCACATTAGAGAAAATGGCATCCACTCACAAGAATAGTTTATTTGTTTTTTATGACACATGGAACCCATGTTTAACACATTTCAACTTGAATCAAATACCTGGGGCTGAGGCCACACACATTCCCACCAACCTATAGAAATGTAACAAGCTGATTTTTTTAATAGTGCTGTTATCATTATTATTGGTATTTTTTATTTATTTCCCCTCCTTTTCCCTCGCATTTCATAGACTGCATAAGTTGGAAATACCCACACTTCACACACTACAACCTCGTTAAACACTCTATCCTTTTGTAATGTCATGTCATGTAACTGTTGACTTGTCCTTAGGTTGCACTGACAGTTATTTTCATGCTACTTGGACCTGCCAACCAGTTCATTCCCTCTGGATAGCAGTAACAAAGGAACTCTCCACCATCTTGGGCTGTAGAATCCCTCCTTCTCCATCACTTTGCTTACTCAGTAATATCACAGACGTTGACCACCTACCAATTAAATACAAAAACCCACTCCTAATTTCTCTAGCTATTGCCAAGAAAACTCTTTCCAAACTGGAAATCAAAAAAAATTACTACACAGAAACCACTGGGCCAATCTTCTGATAGAATACATCACACTAGAGAAAATGGCATCCACTTACAAGAATAGTTTATCAGCTTTTTATGACACATGGAACCCATTTTTAACACATTTCAACTTGAACCAAACACCTGGGGCTGAGGCCACACACATTCCCACCAACCTCTAAAAATATAACAAGCTGCTTTTATTAGTAGTATCTTATTGTTTTAAATTGTTTTTTTCTCTCCTTCTCCCTTTCTTGCCCTTTATAGACTTCATAAGTTGGAAATACCCACATTTCACACCCTCACACACCACGATCTTGTAAATTACTTTACATCTTTTTGTAATGTCATGTATCTGTTGTCTTGTCTCCCATGTCCGGACTTGTTTTGTTAATGTGTTAGTTTGTTTCAATAAAAAAAAAAAAAAACAACTATTCACTGTTTTATAGAGAGGTATGTGCTGGACTATTTCTTGGCCAGACACGGTAGAAAGTTGCAAACTTTTTGTACAATTTTTCTTACTTTTATCTTGCAGATAAATCAAACAAGAACAAACTTGTTAATGAGCAAGCTGCAGAGAGGAATGTTGTTTTTGTTAGGCAGAGCTGGGCTATCTGTTTCCCCATGTTTCGAGTATCTGTATGTAGCTAAGCTAACCAGCTGCTGGCTGTAGCTTCATATTTCATATGAATATTTGAACCTTTGCTTTGAGACTTAAGGTCTTAGTGAGTAATAGAAGAGTAGCTTGTATGTATTTTGTTGTTTGTTTGTTTTGGAAACTTTGTGCTGATGAAAAATACCCACGCTAACAGTTACACACCTACACACTGTCCTAAGTGCAGACGGAGCAGGTTTATTATTGAATATATCTAGGTTAGAAATCCATAACTCTGTTGTTATTCATGCCTTTTTCCTCATTATTCTTGTTTGTTTTTCTGTTATTCAGACTGTGTGAAGGGCTACTACAAGAGAGCCAAGGCCCACACTGCCGTGTGGAATGCAGAGGAGGCCCAGAGAGACTTCAACATGGTGGCCCACCTGGACGTCACTCTGGCGTCGCTTGTCAATCGAGACCTGAAGGACCTGTCAGAACGCATGAAGGAGAAGTACTGGGAGGAGAAGGAGAAATACTGGAACATGCTGGAGATGAAGAAGAACAAAAATGAAGATGATGAGGAGGTGGAGGAACAGGAGAGAGAAGAAGGAAAACAAGAGAGTGAAAGTGTGACCACAGAGAGTAAAGATGAAGTAGGGAAGGATGAAGAAGGCAAACATGGAGGAAATAAAGAAGGCGCTGCAAAAGTTGCACTGGCTGAGGGAGCAGAAAATGAAGAGGATGCAAGCTCTTCTAAGACCAAGCCATTTGCTTCAGGTACAACAGAGGGGAAGGACTGGCAGCAGATGTTACGACTCATCATGTTGCTGGAGAAAGAAGGAAAGTTCCTCATAAAAGAAAACCACTTTCAAGATGCTTCTGCAAAGCTCAAGGAGGCCATAGAATATGTGGACGTCCTTCAGAATACGGTTAGTGGAACTGATTATATAGTTGTGTGAAAGCACGCACACAAGTAATGTAGTAAAACCTTTTGTTGTGATGACGATTCTCCAGGTGGACTTCAGAATAGATTCTCACCATATTAACAACCGCCAGTTCAATCCATTCAGTGTAATGAATGGTCAAATGTGCCAGAAAGGCTTAGAAAACGATTGTGGCTTGTAAACTATAATCATCTGTCATTGTGGCTTTTTTAGTGAAGAGCAGCTGTGGTATTGTAGGTACGCTGGCGAAGTGAAGAGCAGGGAAAAAGTGCTAAAAATAACAGCTATCCACAGAGATATCACTGTGACAACACTCGCCGGTGCTCCTTTTCTCTTTCTTAAACTCCCTCATTCTCCCACACCTGTCTAAACTACCTTGTGCTTTTCGCACACAACAAATTCCTTCTTCTCTTCCATATTGATTTCTCCTCCTCCTATTCTTACAGTCCTTTACCTTCTCTCGCCATCATTTTCAACATCATCCCTCCTAACCCTTTATGTTTTCATTACTCTGTTGTCTTTAAACAGCCACCATCTCAACCCTCATCCTGTCCTCTCTGTGTACTCAACAGGCGGATCAACAGGGCGAGGACTGGGAGTTGCTGGAGAAAGTGCGTCTTCCGCTGACCCTCAACCTTAGCCAGTGTA